ACAGAATCTTGATTCGTATCTAATCAGCACTGCCTAGTTTGACAATTGAGTTGAGTTTTGTGTGGTTCACTGGACAGACTCAGTTGATTTACTGAAGAAGAAGACTTGAAACTCATTAGGAAAGTGTTTACTGAGCTAATCAAGAGATAAGTGGGGTAATTTTCCCATTAGGTTTAATACAAACTCAGTTCTTTTTGCTACCAAAGGAGCTGCCACCTGCTGGCCATTAGAAAGAATGCAGGTTTAAGACACCACATTGGCCTCAATGCTCAGAACTCCGTCCTCTAATTAAATACTGTCAATGTTTGACTTACGTAGTCTGGTCGTTGATGAACTCCAGCTCTCCTCGGGCGTCCTCGTAGTCGTCTCCAACCTTGGCGGTGCCTGACTCGGTGTGGTACGGCAGAATGACAGTGCCACGGGCGCCTGAGTTGCGCACCACTGTGATCTCCATGGTGCCCACGCTCTCGCTCACCCGCACCATGCGATCGCTGAATGTGAAGATGCCAGCGTGGTCATCATCCAGGATGGTCACTGTGGCAACCAGGGGCTCAACCAAGCGAGCTTTGGGGGCCGCACCCACTTCATCGCTCTCAAACATCCCCTCTGCGTCGCCAACACGCAGATTCAGCAGGCGCACAAAGAAGTGCTCATCCTCTTCGAATATGTCGTCGTCGATTATACCGACCTGGACACAAACAGACAGAAGGTGAATACCTTCAGGCATGAATGAACTGCACTGACACCAGCTGTGAAAAGTTTCAACCAAGTCAGCAAGTTCAACAAGTCCAGACCCTCCAGGGTGTGTTATTGTGCTTTTACTGGCAAAAAACAGTAGCTGTGTTTATTTTCTGAGGTTGTAAATGGTTTAACCCATGGCTCAGTCAAGAGACAAAGCTCTGGAGGTGGAATTTTATTTTACAGGAGCTGAATACTGAATGTGTTCTTAGCCATATAAGAAAAACAAGATCCCAGTCTAGTGTGATTATTATGTGAACTGCAGTTTAATTGTATGTTCTGAATTTAAAGTGAATTGATATCAACTGTGGTCCCTAATGCTTGAGTCTTTGTGAGTCTGGACGGCTGTGCTGAATATTGACAGCAGACGTCATCTCCCTCTCAGCTGACACATAAACAGTCTCCAGTTACAATACTCATCATCTATATGAGATTATTATCATCTGATCGTGCCACCGCACAACAACGGACTGGTGGGCGCTCCCAAATGAGATTAGTCTGGCAGTGTAATCCAATGAGCCAGACCACGTCCTGACATGTGTTCAGACTTCAACATAGTCTGGATGGAGTCCCTCCACGATAATAAGAGATGAAGAAGGCAACTGAGAAAATGTGAACCCTTTTTGAAAGATAATATAAATTTAATAAGGAGGTGAGGATGAAAGTCGTTCCTGAAACCAGCGATAACTGATTTCTTCCCGGAAGCAAGTTGATATGGTGAATGTATGAGCAAACAGTAGTTTATCTACACATCCAGCAGATATGGAGCGACTCTGACATTCACTTTCTGTGAGTTTGTAAGGCTTTGCTTGGTCCAACAGTAACTGAGCATCATTCTCCATTAGAGAGCTAGGGGGTTTTATGATTGACTGTCTCATCTCTGTTACTGATTGGGTCAATCAGCCTAATCAGGATGCAGCTCAGACCTTCACTCAATCAGCACACGTGTTGTGACAGTTAATTTCATTTTCATTTCCTGCACAACCTTCCACACATTGCAACCTTGAAGAATTAAAGTTTGTTGTTTACTCTGAGGCATTCAGGTATTCAGTTAGACTTTGTCAAGTTTGATTTATTTATTTGTAATATCCAGCTGAACTACTAATGTGGCTGGAAAAGCGCAAATTAAATAAAGCTTCGGTTGCTTTTGATCTGAAAAATGTTTCAGTGCAATTAATCGATAGATCATAACTGGCATTCACACAAATGTATCTGTTTGAAACATGCAAATGACTAGACTTGAATAATTGTCAGCACTAATTTATCTATCTAATTTTAACTTTATCCAAACAACGGACTCAATAACATTTGCTTAGACGCTTAATTCTGTTGAAATGGAAGCAAGACATATTCAGTGGATTCGAGATCTTATACAGATTCTCCACCTAGTAAAAATAAAGTACAGTATACTCTCAGAGGCTCAACTGACTGGTTCTATAAGTTATGTGTAGACAGACTAAAACTGCACTTTATTTTACACTCACACGAGACTATATAAGCTCGATTAAAGCACCAGTGTGTAGGATTAAGTGGCATCTAGCGGTGAAGTTGCAGACCGTGAACCTAAAATGTGAAAGCCCCGATTTACAGCCAGTGTTTGGTTTCTCTGTTCTGGGCTAATGTAGAAAAACATGGCGAACTCCACAGAAGGAGACCAGCAGCGTCTGAAGATAAGAACGTCTCATTTTAAGGTAACAAAAACACAATGATTCCTATATTCATTCACTAATGGAAACATACCTATGAATATTTTATGCCAATAGATCCTCCTAAATGTTACAAAGTGGACCTTTAAGCAATTGTTGCTAAAATGTTTTTGTGCACAATGTTGTATTATATTACACTGCTATGATCTAGATAAACTCCCATTTCATCATTGTGTTGCAAATTAGATTCGTAATATAACTCGAATGAGTGCCTCCTTTTTTTGATATAACAATTATAAGTCTTTGTTACAAACAACAAAGAGTGTCGATCTCTTTCTGTTAAATCAGTGGAGTGTGAAGTGACGGTCACACGGTGGAACGGATACAGAAATGAAAGTGGAGTTCTGGCAGATGAGTGAGACATTCAAGTGTAATTAGTTTCTCTGCTCATTTTGTGGCATCGATGAAATCTGGTCTGCTGTATTGATGACTGACACTGACCTTTGTAATGTTCTCACTCAGTGTTTCGCTATCTATTCATTCACGGTAGATGAATCAATTTATACTGTTTTTTTAATGTCCCGCCCCCCCATGCTTCTTTTATGTCTTCAGGCTATTGCACCATTCTCCTCTCATCATATCCTCACACTTCTTTTGATCATTCATTACACTTTAAATCTCAGGAGAAATAACCCGTTTTACCTCACCTTTACATTGTGCAGTCATCCTATATGCTTTTAATTCACAGAACATAAAAAAATATGCTAGGTTTCTGTCTTCCAATCAAAATCTTTGTTTGATCTCAAGTTTGATTCTCAAAGTTTGGGAACATCTGTAATCAAAGACGATGAACTTTGGAAGCAGCTCAATCAATGATCATCTACGTCCCTTCTTTTCAGATTAGACTCAAAATGAAGTGTTAACAATAATCATGCAGTAATATTTAAAAACCACACAATAGGATTCCCTCTCTCTTCCTTCCTCCCTCTTCTCTTTACTCACCTTGATCTCTCTGCGAGTCTCTCCAGGTTTGAATACCAGAGTTCCTTCGCTGTACTCGTAATCCGACCCAGCGTTGGCTGAACCGTCCTCTGTCCTGTAGTCCACATAGAAGGTGTTCTCTCCCAGACCCCCTAAACAGCAGAAATAAAATAAATTAACACTGGTCACATCGCACATTATCATTATATTCATTCATTATAACATACATTTAAAAAAAAATGTGAATTCATCTGTGTTTAAGAACTTGGCACAAACCCTTTTGTTGTATACATTAAGCTCTAATGTTTCCGGTCTTAATCCAGAATTTATCTTTAGTTATATTATATATTCTGCATTGAGAACAATTTAAAAGGAGAACTCTAGACCTGCTATGTATGAAAAGTGTCCTGCGATGTCTTCTGATCTGATTTGAAAATATACAAATAAAATGTAATTGGAAAATAACTAAGTATATAACCCTGCCAGATTAATTACATTCTGACAAATCTCTGCTCTGGTCCAAAGTTAAGAAGTACTGTGTGGTGCAGATTAGACCTGTTTACGGTTTTACCTTTAATAGCCACTAAAATATAATTGAAGTAGCAATGTCCATTACTGTTGAGAAAAACTCTTTTATCAAAAACTATAATCTATCATGTTATAAAATACAAAGCCTGTTCAATGCAGGAGGTTTGGTTCAGTATGTTACTGCCTCGGTTCAGTACGCTCTGTGACCCAAAACTGTCAAAAACATTCATGTTGACTACTTGCACTCATGGAACAGAAATTATAAAGCTCGAATTTTACCTGGAAAGTTCAGTGCACCAGTTAATCACACTCAATGGGCAGCGATCAGTTTCAAACTGTAACAATTTTTAACATCCCTAATGTATAAAACCCAGATTACAGATTATACTACCTGATTATAAATAAAGCATTTTATTTTTAGTGTGTATGGCTCAGTGCTCTAGTGGTGAAGTTGCAGATTTGAATACAGCTCAGCCTTACAAGCGTGTAGAAAAAACTACAGTGACTGAAAAACATAAAACACTTTCTAGAGCCAGTGTTTGGTTTGTCCCTTTTGGGGTAGAAACATGGCAGTTCAACATGGCAGGCTCCATAAAAGAGGACCCGCTCCCTCTGTAGGTATAAACAGCTCATTCTTATATTCAGGTGATTACACACTAATAAAAACATACCTTTGAATATTGTATTTAATTTCTGCAAATAGATTCTCCTAAATGTTACACACTGGACCTTTAAGTGAAGGATCTGAGCTCTCCTTTCACCAACACTTTAATCCAGTAATTACAGAGCAGTTATGGCTCGTTGCTCTGAGTTCAGAAAAAAAAGAAACTCAGAGAATAAAACTTAAACAGATCAAAGGCAGTGAAAAAATGTAGTTCGAAATGTAAGCATAAATTGGTATACTTTATTAACACTCTGGTCTTTTCTTCTAACTTATTCATGTGAATTCAGTATTAACTCATTACGTATTTATTTCACTACCTTGGCAGACCACAGCCAGCGTCAGAATGCCACAGTTCTCCATGCACTGACTGTGGGCGCTTTCAAATGAGATGCGGCTGCATATCCCCAGGTCTTCATCCTCCGGTGCTTCCTCGTCGACTACGACTGCACGGCGAGCGTGGTCGGCTGCGTGCTTCTTCAGGACGTTTCCAGCTCCGATCATCATACGAGTCGCCTTGAGACAGACAAAGTGTACAGAACTCTCTTCACATTTATTAACATTTTCTTTCACAACAGGAAATAGACTAACATTTCTTTAATGTAAAGTCTATAAAAGTGTTATAATTGTTTCATTGAAGCTCATGAACCTGTTGTCCTGTTTCATTAGGAGCTGATTCTCAAATGAGTTGCAGAAACAAATAAAGACAAAAGTTCAGTTCAAGATGTCCTTGAACTACTTTACGTCCTTTTGTGGGTCTGGACAACCTTGTGTGTTGACTTCAGGGACTATTTATGAATAATACGTGTGTGTGTTTGTGTTACCTGGATGCGGTAGAAGGCTCTGCTCTTCTGTTGGTGCAGCAGTGCGTAGTAGTTAGCCAGCTCCATCAGCTGATCCAGGTCTTTGTCAGGATATTTCTGCTTCAGCTCCTTCAGGATACGAATCACCTGAAGGAGAGACGAGAGGACACACTCATGATTACATCATCCACACACACCGACAACATGCACGGCTGTTCATACAAACACCGACTGTAGAAGTGCTCAGTTTCTTGCCATTGCCTCATTTCCTAAAAAGCTGGAACTTTCAAAGGGTACTTCCTATTAGCTCCTCGACCTCGAATGATTTTCATGTTTTGACTTCTGTTTAATGTCGGCTCGGTTTCATCTGTGGGTTGAAAAAACATTGTGTAACTTTATAAGCTGTTGAAAACATTTCCAAACCATTTAGATGCAGTGCCTGAATCTTTTAACAACTTTAAAAATATATATTTTTGTGCCAGCTGGAAAAGAGAAACTGTAATCTGTTAAAGTTTAAAAAACTAAATGAACTGTTGAACTACCAGAAGATAGTCAGTAGGACTGGTTTAATTCATCAGCACATTAGGACTTTACGTTCAGTGTTTAACTGCATGGGAGAAATTAAGAAAATATAAAGCAAATTAGTTTTCTTTCATTTTTTTTAAGAACTCACAGATGGTCAATCAAAAAAACACAAAGTTTTAGCTCAAGAGAGTGAAGATGGTTTCACCACTGCCAAGTACAATATGATATACAATTATAATCAAATTACTTCATTCTCTGAAGTATTTAGTTAGAAACATTTAAGTGGACAAACCAACGACATGTACCCTGGTCTGTTAGTATTTCTTATTTTACCAAAATATCATGGTTTGAGCTGAGAATGCGAAAGTTATTATATTATATTATATTATATTATATTATATCAGCTTTCCATCGCTGCTCTGACAGTCACAATTTCTGACTGCCAGAAAGCATGTTGTGTTATTAGAACAATGTAAATTGTCATGTCAACTGCATATTAAACACAATTTTTAATATGGTGATTTTGATATTTTTATTTCATGTTGTTGTTTTGTTTCATAATGTAACAAAAAATTTAGTTCATGCAAATGCTGGTATTTTTTTTTTAAAATGAGCCAAAAGTTTCTCCAGAAAAGGACAGAGTCTTGAAATTGTGTGTACGAGAATGAGTCTGTGTGTAGATGACATCTTGGTTGCTAATGAGATAGTAACCAAGCTCCTGAAAGTGCCACAACTTGAATTCAATGAAACATCTGTGAGTGGAAGTGCAGCCGCAGATTGTCTCGGCTCTCACATCCAAACCAAGTTTCTACACATCAGTCACCCTGAGTAGCACAATGCAGGTGTGGACTGTACTCAGCATATAATATGATCCATATAATATGATCTATATGATATGATCCATAGGACGACATTGCATCAAAAGTCCGATTTTTAATATTCATCCAAGACTGTTGGTAACATTATGAGTGAGTGGGCCAATAAAGTCTGAGTAATAGTGCATATCAGTCAAAAATTATTTATGTTTAGTCATAAAACAGGTTTCCATCCAAATGTAATACAAATCATAACTGACTTTTCATAAAATCAGTACAAAAAAATGCAAATGAATAAGGAGCATGAGAAATAATTCTGCCACCCAGAACACAATCTTGTTTTTTCTGATCTCCCTTTCATTCTGTCCTTCTCACTTTCGTCATGCGACTCTTTCTATCTCGTGTCTCCTTTCTTTTTGACCCATCTGACCTCATTATCGTATTTTCATCTTTGTCTGTCAAACATCCCATATGTTCTTCTCTCCGTCCTGCCATTACCTCTTCAACTTCTCATTAAACATCTCACTTGCTCTCTGTCTTCTCCTCAATAGTAGGAGCAACTAATCTCTTTTTAGCACCCCATTAGCAAGTGTAAATGTGGGTAATGTAATCTGCATCTGCTTTCTGCTCAGCTATCAGGTAAAAAGTTTACAAAGAATTGGCATCACAACACACAGAACAAAGCATGCATCTCTTTAGGAAATGGAAATCTAAACTGGAGCCATTCATCACAGCAGGAAACAACGCCAACACTTTCACTGCAACTTTCAGTGTCTCCTGCAGGGAAATTATCCATTATTTTGAACTCCAATCTTGTCATAATCACGACAGCAGAAATTGTGTTTTATATGTTAAGTGCATTTTTCACAGAGAAAAAACTTGGGAAATGAGATTACAGAATTATTACAGAGCACAATCTGCAGTGATAACGGTGTCTCTAAATAAGTTCTGTTACAGTTATGTGTGAATATACTCTTCTCTCGCTCTCCTCTCTTTATCATTTCACCCTCTGGCAACAATTTGATGTTGAATAAAGGTTGATGAGATGTTCTGCACCAACCAACTGGTGTGTCTGCGACATTTTCAAAAAGAGTAGAAGTCTTATGATTATTGAGACAGGTAAGTTCACACTCCTGGTAGATTAGTTTGCCTCATTTACCTCACAATCGTCATCATAAAATATAAAACGTCTCAGACTATTATAAACTGCTGTGCCTTGAAACTCATGGACACTCAAGACTTTTTCATGTCTCAATGGTCACATCCACCAACATAGTCACTTGTTTTAACGAAGGACTGTTTTTGGTCTGAACGCTGGCTAAGACACGACAGAGTTTAAATCATAATTTTGCCTTTTTGTCTATGCTCTTCATTAGCTACGCCAAAATAAAATGGAATGAAACCCAACAGAAAAATATCTCCTGGTTTTAGGGCAAAATCAGTTCTGATTTTGGATCAGCTGTTCTCTTTTTTGGAAATCTTTCCTACAATTACACAATTACTCAAACGTGTATTGTTAATTGCTTACAGATCCAAACAAATTTCAATTGTGTTTTATTGAGACTTTTCTAGTGATTTGAATTTGAACCTTTGCAACTGACACACTCAGCTGACATCATTTTCTGATATGCCCAAGGGACAGGGACAGGGACAGCGACAATCATAACACAGGATATTGTTTTGTGGAAACTGAACCGAAAGGAAGTAGAGGTTAAGGTGAGTGTGTAGTCATCTGGCTGCAATCTGAAAATGTCAAATTGGGGTCACAGCAGTTCTAAAACTAAATATTTGATATCATGTTTGCTTTCAAATATTTTACAGAACAGCTCTCTACACTTCCATGTATCCATGAATCCATTTCTCTCTGTCTCTCACCTCTTTGCGGCTCTCGTCCAACTCCTTGCTGCTCTCCACGTTGACCATCGTGCTGTTAGAGTTGGGCAGGTTTCCCCTGGCTCCTGTTGCCATGGCCCCTGCAGCACCGATGTTATTGGCCGCAGCGCCTGCTGTACCATCCTGAGTGCCGCCCCCACAGTTCTCAGCAGGGACCACGGTGCCGGCTCGTGTTGGGAACTTGCCGTCTATGATCATCTCCATGCCGCCCTTGTTGGGTGTCAAGTCTCCCTCGGTCTCCACGACGATGCCATGGCGCTTGTCTGCACGGTAACGCTTGCCCATGTATTTGTAGAACAGCAGGCGGCGGTCGGCAATCCAAGCCAGGATGACACACACTGGGAAGTACAGCAGGGTCACCAGGGCCTCCCACACCTGAAACACACATACAGATTCTCCTAAACATCCCTGTTTAGCATGTTGTCAGATTAAAGATCATTAAAAACATCACTTCCTCTTTTTGGGCACACTTTCTGAAACTGGGCGCAGGTACAACCGGAAGTGCAAACTCTGGGCACATAGGAATAAATCTGGTGCAATGCGGCACAAACTGAGTATCAACAGGTGGTGGAAGGGGGGAACTTAAATAAGAGACAATTCACATCAGCTGATCTCCTTAAACACAACAGACAGCTCAAGGGACCGAAGGAGAGTGCAGGCCGAATGGAAAATAAACAACAACCCAAAAATGAAAATACGCCTCTTCAAACATTCATATACAGCAGTACAGGTAAGCTGTCAAGAGAAGATTTGTGTTCCTTTTTGAACTGAGCTTACATTTAAAAATACACTGAAATAAAATAACAATATTATTTCAGAAGATGTTGATGCAGTTAGGCTATAACTACATTCATTTGTAGTGAGTCAATCTCAGAGATGGATATCAAAACCTGGACAAACCCAAAATATTTAATTCAATACTTTCTGACACATAAACAAAAAGTGCTTTATGCCAAAACAAGTGACATTAGTGGTTGTATCACTTCATCCACCTTTACATAAGAGGCTTCATTTGGGACCAAATTATATAAAAATACACTGACTACCAAACATGTGAGACAAAAAGGGCATTGCAACCAGAGCCCAGCGCGGGACTGTTTTCTTAATCCAGCTCCCGCCCCCTCCTGGTGGATTTCTGGTCATCACTGCCCGCTCCCACTGTGCGTGTTTTCCACTCGCGGGATCCCAATCCCAATGCAGTCCTCTAGCTGCAACTACACTTGTGCTGCTGCCGTTGTGCTGACTGTACAGATGAACAGTGCCACTCAGTATCAGTAGAGTCTGTCTCACCTCCACGATGCCCGGTGACATGACAGACAGGATGAGGTAGAGCCAGATGTAGGCGAAGATGCTCCAGAAGGCGGTGATGAAGAACACCCTGAGGTGTTTGATCTTGCGGGTTTCGCCAGGGGGGATCGTCGACACGCAGATTCCGAGGATCACAAACATGTTGAAGGCGGCGCTGCCGACGATGGTTCCTGGTCCCAACTCACCAGCCTCGAACTTGTGACCACACACCTGGAGAGATGTAGTATGCGGAAGGGAAGACAAACAGTAGAGATTGTTCACTGGCATTTAAACACACAGAGAGTTACGTTTAATTAATTTGAAAAACACTGTAACAACATGGCTTATTTTGCCAACAGACAGTCATTATTGTTTTAAAATGGATGGATATTACAATTATAGATAGATAGATACAGCTGGAAAAGAATAGGAGTATTTTGCTCTGGAATAAAGAAATTAGATTTGACGAAGATGGAAAGAGAAGGTGAGAAAAAAGAGGAGTAGAAAGAGTGTGCTGGGAGCATCAATGAATCCACATCACCTGTGATAGAAAGACAGGGTGGAGTGTGGGTGTGTGTGTGTGTGTGTGTGTGTGTGTGTGTACCTCTAT